ATCACTTAATGCATTTCATAATGCACGTTCATATTTGCTGTTCTGTATATACTTTGAGTCAACAACAAGACATATAGGCTACTGAATTGTCTTTATCATCCGTTATTATGCCACATTAAGCGTTTTGCTGTATGGGAGGACAAGTGAAAGTTTGCGCATTGTGTTCATGGCCATCTGCTTGCCTTGTAGTACATTAAATAATAACTATATATCGAATTTGATCTTTTAATTGCACTTAATGTATCTTAATACATTAAGCCATATTAAGTGTTTATGTTTTTCTACGGGAGGAAATTGCGTTCATATTCTGCTGTTCTGTAGTCACGGATTTGCGGGTCTTGTCTTTTTCTTGCAGGACCCTGTACGTTATAGTACTAAATTAGTTTTAATCGTTTAATCACCACCACAGCTTCTTGTCTCCATTGGCAACACACATGATTTGTGTCGATTGCAAGTGACGTCGCAGGTAGCGTAGAGTGCAAGTGAAGATTGCAAGTGACATTTAGACATAATTTAGTTTATTTTTTCTTGTCTTCACCACCTGGCTACTGTTGTAAAATGTTGAGAGATTCAAACAAAAAGTAATCAATAAATAGAACAAAATAAAAAATAAAAAAAGACTGAAAGTGATGTCAATTGTGGAAGCACAAGTGTCTGAGAGTGCAAGTCTGAGAATGCAAGGCTGAGAGTGCAAGTCTGCAGCCAGACCCTTCTCAAATAAGATGCCGCTCAACATTAAATGTCATTTGTTTCAGGATTCTAGTCAAATCGAGTTATTGAAAGAGCTGATGGATTTGCAGAAAGATATGGTGGTCATGATGTTATCTCTTCTGGAGGGTGAGAGTTGTTTTTTTTCTTTCAAACATAATGGAACTAGTAAGAGACTAGCAATGGTTAATGCATCAACTGCATGTTACAGGTAATGTGGTGAATGGAACTATCGGCAAGCAGATGGTTGACACATTAGTGGAGTCCTCCAGCAATGTGGAAATGATCCTCAAGTTCTTCGACATGTTCCTCAAACTGAAGGACCTCACTACATCTGATAACTTTAAGGAGTACGACCCAGATTGCAAAGGCGTTATATCCAAGAAGGAGTTCCAGAAGTCTATGGATAGCCAAAAGCAATACACACAGTCTGAGATCGAGTTTCTCCTCTCCTGTGTGGAGGCCGATGAAAATGATATGTTCAACTACAAGGAGTTTGTGGAACGCTTCCATGAACCAGCCAAGGACATCGGCTTCAACGTGGCTGTGCTTCTTACTAACCTTTCAGAACACATGCCTCACGACTCACGCTTGTCCACCTTCTTAGACCTGGCTGAAAGCGTTCTCAGTTACTTTGAGCCATACCTGGGCCGTATTGAGATCATAGGGGGTGCCAAGAGGATTGAGAGGGTTTACTTTGAGATCAGCGAGTCTAGCAGAACCCAATGGGAAAAGCCTCAGGTCAAAGAGTCCAAACGGCAATTCATCTTCGATGTGGTCAACGAAGGCGGTGAGAGTGAGAAGATGGAGTTATTTGTGAACTTCTGTGAGGACACCATCTTTGAGATGCAGTTGGCCTCTCAGATCTCTGAGCCAGACGCCGCAGAACGACCCGAGGAGGACGAAGACGAGGAGTTGCATAGTCTGCTTGAAGGATTGTCTGAGAAGGAAGACTCATCTCTTGAGTCCGCCTCGGCCTTCACTGCAGCCTGCGCTTCTGTGAAGAAGAGCATGTCTAATTTCCGTAAAATGCTGACGTTTAAGAGTATGAGGAAACAGTTGAAAAAATTCAGGAAACTTACCATCAGGGAAATGATCACAGGGTTCTTCTCCTTCTTCTGGATGCTCTTCACTGGGTTCTTCAAAGGCATTTTCGCCATCATCTTCGGGTTCTTTCATATTATTTGGTCCTCCATGTTTGGAGGGGGTCTTGTGGAGGGTGCTAAAAACATGAAAGTGACAGATATCTTGGGTAACATGCCTGATCCAACACAGTTTGGGATCCATGGTGATGTAATGGAAGCAGAAAAATCAGAGAGCAGCGAATTGGTGGTGTCTGCAGATATGGTGCAGATGACTGGTGCTGGTGCTGAGAAGCTGGAAACGGATATGATCATGGATCTACTTAATCCAGCTGTGAAGAAGGAGGGGAAGCATGTGGCAGAACTTGGTCTGGGTGATGTCTGTGAGGTCCTGACAGAGTCTAGCTCCCCTGTTGAGAAAAAGAAGAGCCAGGTATCTACGTACCTTAGTCTGCGTAGACGCCATATTGAATTTAATGTGAATGAAAATGAGGCCTAGACTTGCAGTTTTTACAATGGCATTTAAGGCCCTAGATCACATGTAATTTTCACAACTAATACAATTATTTTATGAAGTATTTGTGAAAGTGAACTAAAAGTTGTTTTGAAAAGATGTTTCATCATGTTTTAATTGAACACCCTGTATATCTATCGCCTAGAGCCTTGTTTTCATCTCCCTTAAAACATAAATATAATGCTTTCCTCTCTAAGTAATATTATTCTAGTATTTGAATCAAACACGTGACAAAGTATATTGTTTTTTACTACACAGAAAGTAGCAGCAGAGAAGCCAGAATCCGAGCCAGAGAAAGCTGAGTAAGTTGGCTATTTAGATGTTGTCGGATCATTTCTTGATCAAAATGTTCTGACATTTCAGTGTTTTTTAGCACTGAGAATCAAGAGAAAGAAGACAAGGCTAAAGAGGAAACTCCTGAGGAACCAGCAGCAGCAAAACCAGCTCCAAAAGCCAAACGTGGCTCAGCAAAGGAAGAAGCTCCAGCATTTATGGCCAGCTTCTTTGCAGGGCTTGAAGTCTACAAAGCCAAAATGCTGGTAAGAAAAGCTTCAGTCACATTTTTAATTAAACTTTGTCCCACAGGAAATTTTGTTTGAGTGGCAACGATGAAACATTAACATTTCTCTCTTCCTCTGTAGAACTACCTGGCTCGCAATTTCTACAACCTTCGTCTTCTGGCCTTGTTTGTGGTCTTCGCCATTAACTTCATCCTGCTCTTCTACAAGGTGTTTTGCAGATAACTTTAAATGTGCTAATGAACGTGAAGTCGACATTGAATGAATGAATAATCACCTATTTGGTCATTTGCATAGTTGCTCTCTAACACTTTTGAATATTGCTGCTCTCTAAAGGTGACTGGAGAATTCGATGATGAGGAAGAGGAGGGATCCTGGGGTGGTGAAGAGGAGGAAGGTGATGAAGATGATGAAGGAATGGAATACTTCATTCTTCAGGAGAACACTGGCTACATGGCACCCACATTGACGTTCTTGGCTGTACTGCACACGATCATCTCCTTACTCTGTGTTGTTGGATATTACTGCCTTAAGGTTTATACTGATTGCTCTCATTTGATTACATTCATCAGGATTAAGAATATTTCAAAGCCAGATTCTGCACAACCGTGTTTATGTATTCTTGTTTTCTCCTCGCTGTAGGTTCCTTTAGTTGTGTTCAAGCGGGAGAAGGAGATCGCCAGGAAGCTTGAGTTTGATGGCTTGTATATTACCGAGCAGCCGTCTGATGATGACATCAAAGGACAGTGGGATCGTTTGGTCATTGCAACTCCGTAAGAAACACTTTAGACATTCTTTCATTCAGTCCCTTACGCTACATTTACATTACAGTGTCAATTTCAGATATTATTATATTTATTTAATATAGCACTCAACAGTTCTATATAGTAACAATAAGTGTACTCCACATACGTCAGCACAACAAGTAGCATCACATAATTACACATTATACTACTGTTCAAAAGTTTGGAGTCTGTAAGATTTTCTTTTTCTTTTCTTTTTTTGAAGTTATGTTTTTGGCCTTTTTATGCCTTTATTGGATATGACCGTAAAGATCAGCCAGGAAAGCATGGGAATGCAACCCGGGTCGACGGAAACATTTCTTATTATTATCAATGTTCAAAACAGTTGTGCTGCTTACTATTTTTGTGGAAACCATGACACATTTTTTTATTTATTTTATTATTCTGTAATGAACAGAAAGTTCAAAAGAACAGAAATCTTTTGTAACATTATACATTTAATGTCACTATTGTTCAGTTTAATGTGTCCTTGATGAATAAAAGTATTAATTTCTTTTAAATACTTTTACAAATAATTGTGTATGTACATTGACATGAAATATAAGTTAATATGCTGCACTAAATGTTTTTCATAAAATGGACAATGGTCAAATTATCAACAGAAACATTTTACTTTTCAGTCAAACATACACACGGCAAAATTATTTTAAACTGAATTTTTAAAACCTTTTAAAAGTATCATTCATATCAATTGAGAAACTACAATGAGTATTTGTACATTTATAAATTGTGATTGTCACACTACAGGACCATTTCAAAAGAAATAGTGAAGACAAACATGATTCAAAAAGGAAATACTGAAAGTTAATTGTCACCAGTTACAGGACCCAATATGTACACTTTTCTTTTGATTGATTTCAATATCAGTTTTAACTACCCATTGGTATAACATATTCTTTGTAATTCATGAAGTAATTGATAAATCAATCCATCAGTTCTTCAGAGCATGAGTACTTACAAACTTCCATACCTGTCTTTCAGGTCCTTCCCTAACAATTACTGGGACAAATTTATTAAGAGGAAGGTAAGCAGAATCACACACAACTTGATGGTGCTTGTATTCATTGGACTGTCTGCATATCCAATTTCCACTGTCCTCTGTAGGTCATCAATAAATATGGTGACTTGTACGGGGCCGAGCGCATAGCTGAACTCCTGGGTCTGGATAAGAGTGCTCTGGACTTTGATCCCACTGAAGAGGCCGTGGTGAAGGAGGCCTCCCTGCTGTCCTGGTGAGCTGACGGGACATGAAAACATTTGGTTTGAAAGAGCATTAAAGCATTCAGTCATGTTTTGGTTTCAACTGCAGGTTGAGCTCAATTGATACCAAGTACCACATCTGGAAAATGGGGGTGGTGCTGACGGACAACGTGAGTATGGCTCAGATTTGAAAACATAAAGAGGAATATCCTGTATCAGGACAATAACGTTTTGTCTTTCATCTCTAGTCTTACCTCTACCTGATCTGGTACACCACCATGTCTATTCTGGGACATTACAATAACTTCTTCTTTGCCGCTCATTTGCTGGACATTGCCATGGGTGTCAAGACACTGAGGACCATCCTCTCTTCTGTGACTCACAATGGCAAACAGGTAAGTCTCCTCCAGCAGAGGGTGACTGTAGTACAGCTTCACACCAAGATACTTCTGATCTGATGATGAGAGTATCTTCTTCATCTGAACAGCTGGTATTGACTGTGGGCCTCCTGGCGGTTGTGGTCTACCTGTACACCGTGGTGGCTTTTAACTTCTTCCGCAAGTTCTACAACAAAAGCGAGGATGAGGACGCACCTGACATGAAATGTGATGATATGATGACTGTGAGTTTAGCATTTCATTTTGAAAAGATCCTTGAAGGACATTTACCATGTTGTTTTCCATCTGGCTGATCTGGAAGTCACCTTTGACTTATACTGACTATTGGTGTGGATGCATTAATGCAGGAATTAATAATTTATTCAGTAAGATAATGTTGTCAGGTCATATCAAGTTTTTTTATTCAAATATATCAAATGCTTAGGTGACCTAAATGCGAAAAATTCATTTAATGAGAAAAATACCATTGATTTCTTCTTAACACTTTTAAAAAGAAATGGGAAAATTTATAAGAGTATAAAATATTAAGAGTGCCTTTAAAGCTTGATTTTTAAATTTTTACTTTTATATTTCATTGTTTAATATACATATGTATTATGTTCAAACGTTTGGGGTCAGTAAGATTTTTTTGAAAGAAATTCATCATTTTATTCAGCAACGGTGCATTAAATTGATCAAAAGTGACAGTAAGTATCTGATGAATAAAATGTATCATAGTTTTTTTTTGTTTTTTTTACAAAAGTATTAAGCAGCACAACTGTTTTCAAAATTGATATTGAATAATAAAAATTGTTACTTGATCAAATCGTCATATCAGAATGATTTCTGGAGTAATGGCTGCTGAAAATTCATCGTTGCAATCACAGAAATAAATGACATTGAAAATTTATTACAATTTAAATTGTAGTAATATTTCACAATAGTATCAATATCTTTTTACTGTATTTTTGAATAAATAAAAGCATTCTACAAACCTCAAACCTTTGAACAGTATTGTGTATGTAATGTCCAAACTGCTTTGCTAGATCATTAAAAACTAAAGCGAATCCCATGACTCCTCAGTGCTACCTGTTCCACATGTACGTGGGTGTGAGAGCTGGCGGTGGCATCGGTGATGAAATCGTGGACCCTGCAGGCGACCCGTCTGAGCTCTACCGCATTCTGTTTGACATCACCTTCTTCTTCTTCGTCATCGTCATCCTGCTGGCCATCATTCAGGGTACTGCTTTATAAGCCACACTGATCTTAAATAGCAACAAAACTACCCCAACCCATCATAGTCTCACAGTCACTACTGTGAACATTCAGAACACCAACATAATGCTGAATGCTTTCATTTTCAAACCAGGTTTGATCATTGATGCCTTCGGTGAGTTGAGAGACCAGCAGGAGCAGGTGAAAGAAGACATGGAGGTGAGCGCTGTCACATGTCCTCCTTGTAAGGTCTAAAAAGAGCACAGTCTGTTATTATTTTAACTTTTTTTTTATCCTTGGTGTAGACAAAATGCTTCATCTGTGGAATCGGGAATGACTATTTTGACACAACCCCGCATGGCTTTGAGACCCATACCTTACAAGAGCACAATCTGGCCAACTATTTGTGAGTAAACACTGTATATGACATCCGATATGCAAAGTAAGACCAACTTTGCATTGTTATAATGCTTCCTTTATCGACTAAACACATCTGAATATTCAAATATTCCTTTCTAACAGATTCTTCCTGATGTATCTTATCAACAAAGATGAGACTGAATACACTGGTCAGGTAATCTATTAATCCAATTAAAACTAGTGCCTTATTTATAAAATCAATATACACTACCTTTCAAAATGTTTGGGTCGGTAAGATTTTTTAAATATTTCTGAAAGTATTCTCTTGAGCTCACCAAGGCTGCATTTATTTGAGCAAAAATACAGTTAAACTGTAATAATGTGAAATATAAATACCACTCAAAATAACTTTTCTATTTATATAGATTTAAAATGTAATTTACAGTTCTGCTCATATGATTATATATGCAGAATATGCAAAATGTTAATAACAAAATAAGAGGGATCATGAAAATGCCATGTTATTTTTTATTTAACAAGGTTTTTCATATAACAGATGTTTACATACACTCCACAACACAAAATAACTGAAATTATAAAAATGGCTCAAAAGTTTACATACCCTTGAATCTTAATACTGTTTCATTACCTGGATGGTCCACAACTTTTTCAGTTAATGATGAGCTTATTCAGGACAGCACTAAAAAAAATGGAATTTTCATGATCCATCTTATTTTGTTAAAATTATTAGCATTTTTACACATTCTGCAAGGTGTATGTAAACTTATGATTCAAACTGTATTTCTATGGTAAAACTGAATGTTCAGCAGCCATTACTCCAGTCTTTAGTCTCACATAATCCTTCAGAAGTTATTGTGATTTGGTGCTCTAGAAACATTTCCTAATATTAATGTTGAAAACATTCCTTGATATTTCTGTGGAAAGATTTTTTTCTTAAGATTCCTTTATGAATAGAATTCAAAATAACAGCATTTATTTAAAATATAAGTTTTTTGGTCAAATTATAAATGTCTTTACTCTCATGTTCAATGGATTTAATGCATCCTTGCTAAATTAAAATATTAATTTCTTTAGAAAAATGTGTGATCCCAGACTTGTGAATTGTAGTGTATACTATTATTGTATATTATTATATTTAATAAATGATATCTTCTAATTGTTCTTTTATTCCAGGAGTCGTATGTTTGGAAGATGTATCAGGAGAGATGCTGGGATTTCTTCCCTGCTGGAGACTGTTTCCGGAAGCAATACGAGGACCAGCTGGGCTAGAGGACATGTTGTCCTCAGTCCTAATATGAGAGAACCTATATGAGCTCCTAATATCCACATGGATTTTAGGACCTTGTACAGGTTGGACACAACATCCTAAACTATCTCTCATCATACTCTGCTCACTAATTCATCCAATCAAAACAACCTCAATCGTTTCTACACCAGAAATGACAGCGACATACTGAGAACTCATTGTGATCGAGCCAAAAATGTGAACTCAAGTGCAACACTGAGAAAAAAAACAACAAAAACATGTAGCACACATTGCCAAATAAAGACACAAAGCCACGTTTGATTAAAAAACGTGGGAAAATGCCTTATTTGCTTAACTCACAAATGCACACAAACTTGTGAGATATGTTAACGTGTATGTTTTTTGATGTTGAATGAACGTCTGCACAAATATGCACCAGAATACCTTCTTAGGATTCAATGAGTGCCAAACACACTTTTTAAAACACACGATTTAAAAACTAAGACTATGAAGAATGTGCAATGCCGTTAAGGACAGTAACCTGACTGGTGGAATGAGCAATATAACGATCCTATAACTGCTTCAGTCCACTAGCTGTTTCTCATACAGAAAAGTGCCTTATGACAAGAGACTATGCAAACATTTTGTTCCTGCTCGTTGCTATTTGCAGTTTAGTTTAGACTATCACTGACTGTCTCACCTGGGTTAGTAGTTTTGTAGCTTTAATTGACGTTTGCTCACAAGTAACCATTACACTGCTTTTTTAATGTTTGGTTAAGGTTAAATAACTGAAATCGTGTGTGCCTGATCATTTATGAAGTACTAGTAATGGGAATCTACATTCGAGGACAAAAACAATTACATTTATTGAACAGAAGTCAATACACTAAACTGCTATTGTATGGCCATTTGTATGTATGTAGTGGCTTTGGTGATTTGCATTTGTTTTGAGCAGGGGGAATGAAAATAAAGTAGCTATTGCAATAAATCCAAGCTGGTCATAACTGCTTTTAATCAGAGTCAAGTGATGAAAGAGAATATGATGGGTCTGAAATGCTGTGTTACACACTTTTTTTTTAGTCAAGTCTGCTTTATTGTCAATTCTTCCACATCCTGTTGTTGTTGTTGGAGCTGGGAGGGATGTATACAGCAACGAGCAGTATGGCTGTATATTCCCTCGGTAGATAGAACGGCCGGCACTTAATACTTCGATGAAGCATTTTATATTCCACATGACTGAATTAGTCTTGGCTATTACACTTAATGAAGTGTGGCGGTATGATATTCACGTCCGCACAGAAGTAACGCTATGTCAGCTTCTCTGGGATCAGGAGATCATGCTGTCCAGCCAGTCCTCCAGATCCTCCTCTGTCACTTCCTGCCTCGTAAGTTTAGCTTCACTTTCCACTTCTGGCTTCGTTTCTTTCATATCAACCATTTGATCTTTTCTCTCTTCTTCTCTTGAACCTGTTGAGGTGATAAAATCACATTTTTACATCAGAAACTACTTTGAAACTTCACTTGCAAAAGCTACAGGATTGATATAGAATCTAGAATCAAGCTAACTTTTTAAACAAGTAGTTAGCTTTGCTACAAAGCACTATCAGAACGTACCTAAATACACTGAAGTATTTAAGGATTACATTTAAATATACTTTCATTCTGCAATTATAGCATTTATTTGGAATTTTACTATATATATAAATAATATATATTTTATATAAATATGCTGAATTTTCAGTCTTCGGTGTCACATGATCCTTCAGAAATTATTATTCCAATATGCTGATTTGGTGCTCAAGAAACATTTCTTCTCAATGTTGAAAACAGTTTCGCTGCTTCATTTGTGGAAATCTTGATAGTGTGAGTTTTTTTGAATAGAAGGTTTAGCATTTATTTGAAATTCTTTTAACAATGTAAAAGTCGTTACTTTTAATTAAGATAATGTGTCATTGTGTAATAAAAGTATAAATTTCTTAAAAAAAAAAAAAAAACTTACTGACCCCAAACTTCTGAATGGTAGTGTAATTATTTACAAACGGTGACAAAAAACAGCATTCAACTCCATACTTAAAGAAGCAGTGATTCAAATGATTCAGTAATTCAGATTGATCAGTGAATCGATTTACATCAGCTGTCTCACTTAAATGAGTCTGATTTCCAAAAACTACTTGTGTAGCTTATTATTGGAAGTTACGACTAATACTAATTTTAGTTAGTTAAACTACACGCCGACACTGTTTAACAAAAAAAAAAGAACAAACATATACCGACCTTGTGTTGGGCTGTTTAGCGCATCGTCTGTTGTAGCGTGGGATTCGACTGAAGTAATTTCTGTGATGGGTTTCTGCAAGTCGAGGAGAAGGTCGAGCTCCTGGTCAGCATCATCTGTGGCAGGAGGGACGGCTGTGGAGACACTGAGAGACGGTGTGGTACCTGGAACAGGCTTTACACCTGCCTGAGGAGCTTTCGATCCAGCTGTTAGAGTCGAGTCGGTTCTGTGAGGCACTGTCACAGACGGAAGTTCAACGGGAGTCGTCACCTGAAACATATTAAAACACTAGCACATTCTTCACTGGTACTAGTAAGTATTTCATAGTATTCCAACAAGAAAAGCAATTGATCTACCTGCACAAGCTCAGCCTCCAGGTTCAGTCTTGTGTGCAGTGGAAGCTCTTGAAGTGACTGAGTTAAAGCTGGCAGGTCTATAAACAAAGCTGGAATCTGAAGAAATCACAATCAACCATGAGAACATACTTCCTCAAACAACAGCATTTCAATGATTGCAGTGCAAAACATGCAAGTGAGTCATAATACATAAAGGGGTCATATGCATATTGCTAAAAAGAACATTATTTGGTGTAATGAAATTTGTTTATGTGGTTTATTAACCACAGTTTTCCCATATACTGTACATTATTGTTTCTCCTCTATGCCCTGCCTTTCTGAAATGCGTAAATTTTTACAAAGTTCATCGGTCAGAAAAGCGAGGTGTGCGCTGATTGGCCAGCTATCCAGTGTGATTGGCTGAATTCCTCAAGCGTGTGAAGGAAATGTTACGCCCCTTACCATATTGTGATGGCCTTCACGACATGGCGGCGGCGGCAACAACAATACTGCAGCGAGAATAAAAGTTACGCCTTCTTTCTTTGCGTGAACATTTGGGCGGCGTTATGCAAATCTTCCCACATCGTGACGTAGATATATGTGGGCGTGTTAGAACGAGCCATTTTAGGAGGGTGTGGACAAGTCTTAACTTTTATAAAGAATATCTCTTTGGATTTGAGACTTTAGTCTTTGCAACTTTACAGATCTTCTTTATGCACCAAGAGCTTGTAACACTTCAAAGAGAAAGGAAAAATTGAAATCGCATCATATGACCCCTTTAATAACTTGTGGAATGACTGATCATGCACCTGATTTTTTGCTAGCGAGTCCACCTCCCAGTCCTTCTCATCAGAGAACCTGAACTGTGTAAACGAGTCCCCTGAAATGGATAAACGGGTAATACATTAAAAAAAGAAAAAAAAAAAAAAAATTTATATATCACTTAAGAGTTAAATCAAAGTACATTCGGTGAGTCACCAGGTAATGTATTAATTTTGCTTTGACACTTTCAGGAAGCTTAGATTCAATTCTTCATTTCAGTGAAATTACTGATGTGCCACTTTTACTAATTGTATTATTTTTTTATTTACATCATATTTTTTTATTTTACATTATGAATAAAGCCCAAATTAATGTTTATTATAAATATTTGACCGTTTATTTCTTTTATTAATATGAATTCATTATTTTATCAATATTATTAAATATGAAATATTACCATTCATCATGAATGATAATAACATTTGGTTTAATTACATTTCTAAAATCAATATTATAATATTATATATCACATTATGTACACTCTGCTGATTATCCAGCTGTAAAAAAATGCAATTGGAAATAAATACTATTTATATAAACCCTAATGCTATTTTTGTATTATTCATATACTATTACAGTATTTATTTTAAATTAGCGTTTATTTTTATATGTTCAATTTTAATTTTAATTGAAGTTTTCTTAATTATGTACTTTTGGCATTTTTATTTTCTATTTTTTATTTAAATACTTCAATTTTCATTTTAGCATTAGCAATTTTAGTACTTGAACTTTATTTTTCATTTTGGCAAGGTAAGGTTTCAAATTTCGTTTTGTTTTTTTTAATTAAATATTTGTTTTTAATTTTATTTAAGTTTTTTAATGAACAAACATTTGTAATAGTTTTCATTAACAATAACCACTGTACTATAGCTCACCTTCCTAGCCCCTGCATTGCAGTGACAAGCATTAATCATATCTATGACTTAGTTTTCAAGCCTCTTAGTTCAATCCTTAGCCAAGAAAAACAACTCTCACATCTCCATCACTGCGCACCTTCACAGCAGCAGCAGCTCAACGTGTCATCTTTTGAAGTCATTTTCACCTTGACACATGCAGCGTGAATTCTGAGGCGGCAGCAAGTTGGGACAGCTGAAGAAAGAAGCCGTAGGCCTGTCACGCACAGCTGTCCCAGTCAGAATACTCAGCGCCTCCCGCCTCAGAAACGCTCTTTCACTCGAGACACACTTGCCAACTGCAGTTGGCCAAACCGACACGGATGATACAGAGCAGGGTCTCAAGGTCAAGAGGAGCGATCCTTCTTCAAAAGAGCACTTCAGAAGCATTCTGCCACTTCATATAATGTGTTAAAAAGATGAACTGCTGCAACTAAAAACAACAACATGCTACTCTTAAAGTTTTTGTCTATCTAGCATCCCACTGACGTCACAGGAAACAAGATTCCTGCTAAAGCTGAGCACGCTGCCAAGTACACAGTGCTTGATGTCATCAGTGTAGAAACGCTGCGGACAGGAGATGCCATCCAGGCAATTTCATCATGTTTCCTTCACTGGCAGTGACAGCGCCATGGAAACTGCTGCCATAACAATAAGCAAAGGTCCTGTCAGCATGTGCAACGAGGGGCAGCCGAGCTTTAGCGGAGCAAGTAGTGTGGCTAGTGAGTATAACAAACCAGCTGCATGTGACATACTGCTGTGCTGCATTACTATCACAAGTATAGTATACTATCATATCATATAGTATACTATCATATCATAAATACATTGTTTGTACAAGTGCATGAATAAATAAAAAAATGATCATATGGACACTGTTTAGTAGGGATTCAAAAATATAATGTGTTGGATCAAGGGCCAATGATTATTTTTATGTTATGTCTGATAAACAATATAATTGAGTATTATTACAGATGAAGGAACGCAGATATGCAGTACTTACAGTATGACTGCAGGCATATTTCCTCTTTCATACAAAAGTTGAGTAAAATTAATGCTCCTGTGCATAATGGTCAAATACTTTCTCTCAGTTTAACATGCGGAGACTATAATTAATTAAAACCAATTTATTCAATTATTTACTCACCTCTGCAGGATCATTCTGGGTCATATTTCACTCCAAAATCAAAAGTGAATGAAAAATGCTGTGAATCATCATTAAGCATAATGAGAATTACAAACAAACGTTGATTCAATCATAATGAATCAATTTATTCATTAAAATTAAAATAAAACAAGTCTACAGTTTAAATATATAAATCAATATATATTTTTAAATTTGTAAAAATGTTTTTTATTTAAAAAAAAGTTCATAAATAATTTTTTAACCTGTAATTTAATAAATATATTAGATGTAACAAACTATATGTGACCCAGGACCACAAAACCAGTCATAAGGGTCAATTTTTATGAAATTGGGATTTATACATCTAAAAGCTGAATAAATAAGCTTTCCATTGATGTATGGTTTGTTAGGATAGGACAATATTTGGTCGAGATACAACTATTTAAAAAATCTGGAATCTGAAGATGCAAAAAATAAATAAAATAAAAATAAAAATACTGGGAAAATCGCTTTAAAGTTGTCCAAATGAAGTCCTAAGCAATGCATATTACTAATCAAAAATTAAGTTTTGATATATTTATGGTAGGATATTTACGGTAGGAAATTTACAAAATATCTTCATGGAACATGATCCTTACTTAATATCCTAATGATTTTTGCCATAAAAAAAAACCTGTGCGACTTAAGAAGGTTTTGTGGCCCAGGGTCACATAATAAAAAAAAAGTACTGTACAGTGGCCCGGTAGTGCACAACACAAAAAAATCTCCACAACACAATGGAAACAAGTTGCAACACAACGGAAACAAGTCGCAGTACAACGAAATTAGCACAAAACAACAGGAAACAAGGCGCAACACATGAAATCAGTGCAGCACAATGGAAGCAAGTCGCAAAACAATGGAAACAAGCCACAATACAATGGAAACAAGTTGTAACACAACAGAAACAAGCCGCAACACAACAAAATTAGGACAAAACAATGGAAACAAGCCGCAACACAAAAAAAAAAAAAATAGCACAAAAAAACAACAGAAACAAGTTGCATCACAACAGAAAAAATCAAAACAATTAAATTTACACAAAACAACGGAAACAAACCACAACACAATGGAATTAGCACAACACAACAGAAACAAGTTGCAACACAATGGAAACAAGCCACAACACAACGAAATTCACACAAAAGTAGAAACAGGCCGCAACACAAAGGAAACAAGTCGCAACACAACAGAAAGAAGCCACAACACAACGTTAGTTGTGTTAAATTAAATTAGTACAACCTAATTAGTCCTATGTGTTGTGGCGATTTCATTGTGTTGTGCACTACTGGGCCACCGTAGTCACTGGCCAATTCTTTATCTTAATCCATATTGCAAATTATTTTACTTTTATAAAAATTGAAATTGTTTAAATTTTAAATAGTTTATAAAATGATACATAGTTTAAATGTTACATTTAAAAATATTGAATCATTTTTTTCATTGTTTAACTTAAGTAGCTATTTTCAAACATGAATTAAATAAGCTGAATTCAGTTCATCACAAACAATAAGCAATAAATAGGCCACCTCACACAAAACTAGTGTACGATATTGTATAGTGCACAGATGGCTTGAAGCTGCTTCCAATGCTGGCCTATTCAAAAAAATTAATTGGTCGATATTGACAATGTGCATCCCTACTTTTTACACAACCTAATAGCAAATATGCAATAAACAGGTAAAAATGGCTGATGTGAACGAAACATAAGCGTACAGTAGCATCTCTGGTGCAGTGCTGGCATAATGTCAGTGTGGCAGATGTGTCTCTCTGCAGGCTGGCGTCCTCTGAATGAGGGAGAGTAGCGGCTCAGGAAGCAGCGCTACAAGTACAGGTCATTTCCTCCCAGAGAGTGGCATCATGTATGCAGCCTGCCAACCCAAATCTGGCCACCGTTCTTTGCTTTTTCAAGGGCCCTATAAAACACTGACACCAGGACCATGGAATGCTGTGGACCTACAAGCCCAACAGTATTAAAAAGAGCACAGGCCATCCACTGCTAGTCGTTAAATGCCACTTAATGCAGGGAGGCTACAGCCCTTTGGAAGAAGCTGCTAATTTGCATTGTCGTCACGGCTCTTGAGCAAATCATTGCTAAGCCAATTAACACAAAGCAAGTCCATAACGAACTGAACCATCAAAATAAATCAGTCTGTGATGATTGCAATTAAAATATTTCAAGCTGAAAATTCCAAACAATAAGACGGTTATTTACTATACGTCTCAACACCACTGCCATGCAGAACACCAACAGTTTCCTATTAGTGTCTAGACTTGAAAGGAAAGACTGTGCAGTTCACACACATGGTTCATTTGAAAACACATCTTTAAATATGACATTTGTGAGAAATATGTGAAAATGTTTTCCTTCAAATCATTAAAAGTCTAAGCTCTGCTTTCGTTTCTGATCAGTTAGTGGGATACTGAACAAACTGTTGTGTAACCATCAAATCATTATGTTTATAAAGTGGTCTGAGCTTCCTAAACCAGAAACGGAGGTAAAAACAGATAAATCGCAGTTGAACTGACTGGAACTAGAGCCTGTTAATCATATGGCATCAACGAGGCATAAAGAACAATTCAACTATCATTTTGAAATTGTGAAAGTTGATGTTGAATCAGTGATCAACGAGTCTCACGAGAGATGAGTTTTCCACTCTCACAGACACTCAATAGCTTCTCAACAGATGAGTGCCTAATGCTCTATATTAATCTATTTTAATGCATTACTTCCCTATTTATTTGTGGACCCACCTCCCCATATGTTACTATAGTCCTGGCCCTCCCCATGCAGTAATGGGTATGAGAGCAGGGCTTCGGTGTGATTCAAAAGCACATCTCTTCTCAGGAGACCAGCATCTGACCTTGAGGTGTGAAACGGCATCCGAGTCATAATGACACAACCCCCGCAATGAACGAAAGGCTGTGAAAGGGCATCTCATATGCCCATGCAGAGATAAGCCACCAGGCCCTCTGAGTCTGCGCCTGCTCCTGCACCAT